GAGGAGGAGGAGGAGGAGGAAAGGAGAAGGAGGAGGAGAAGGGGGAGGGGGAGATACAGAAAGGGGGTGAGAGGGAAAGACTAAGAGCGGTCTGAGAGGGGGTGGGGAGAGAGGGACTGAGGGGAGGGTGGGGTCTTAGAGGGGTCTAAGAGGGTATGGAGGGCAAGAGAGCGGAGGGGCGCGGGCAGACCCAGGCCGCCAAAATCGTGACCGAACTGCAGGTACTAGAGGGGAGGGAGGGGGAGGGAGGAAAAGAGAGAGGGGGATAGGGAGGAGGAGAGGAGGGAAGAGAGAGGGGGGATAGGGTGAGGAGAGGGAGAGGGAGAGGGGGAGGAGAGGGAGATAGGGCAGAGGGGAGGAAAGGGGAAGGGGGAGAGTGTAGGAGGAGTGAATGAGAGGTAAGGGGAAGGAGTGTGAAGTGGTGAAGTGTAAGACTAAAAAGGGAGAAAGGGCAGGGAAGGGAGGGAAGGGAGGAAAGGTAAGGATGGAGAGGTAAGAGGGAAAAGTGGAATGAAGGGGAGAGGAGAGAGATGGTAAAGAGAGAAAGGGCGGAGAAAGGGAGGGCGAGAAGCGCATGGAGGGAGGGAAGGAGGAAGAAGGAGAGAAGAAGGGAAGAAGGGAGGAAGGAAGGATGAAGGGAAGGAGGGAGGAGAGAAGAAGGGAAGGAGGGAGGGGAGAGAAGGGAAGGAGAGATAGGAAAGAGAATAAAAGGGAGGATGAGGAAGGGAAGGAAGAGAAAAGGGGAAGAACTACGATACGAGGACAATACGATGACAAGGGAACGGAAGAGAGAAATGAAATGAAATAGAGAGAGAACGAAAAGGAGTGAGAAGGAAGGAGGAAGGAAGAAAGGCCGCGGGAGAAGAGGATGGAGAGAGGAAGGAAGGAAGGAAGGACAGAGGGAAAAGGAATTGAAAGAGGAAGAAGGAAGAAAGGAGGACAAGGGAAAGAGGATGAAGGAGAGAGCGGAAGAGAGTGAGAAAATGAGGATAAGGGGGAAGGGGCGAGGCGAGGAGGAAGGGTAGGGGGGGGTGTAAGGAGTAGGGGGGGCGGCGGCGCGTGTGCTGGGCGTGGCGTGGATTCTCGCTCGCCATTAGCGCCAGGAATGCAATGGGCGGCAACAGATAAATAATCACCGGCGGACGACCTCATTCCGCGCCCTCGCCCTCGCCCTCGCCCGCCGTACCTGCAGGTCGAGGATGCAGGACCTGCGAGGCCGCCGGGTAATTTAGAACGGAATGGCAGAATGAGAACAGGAAGAGAGGGGACGAGAAATCAAATCAAGGTATGGTATAAAGGATACATACATACATATACTCTCTGTCTGTCTGTCTGTCTCTCTGTCTCTGTCTCTCTCTCTCTCTCATCTATATAATATAATATATATATATATATATTATATATAATATTATATAATATATATATATATATATATTATATATAATATACATAACAATATACATATACAATATTATACATATATATATATATATATTTATAATAAATACACACACACACACACGTATATATATGTGTATTAAAGTATGCAGG